TGAGAGACAAAATTATAGTCTACGATCCATAGATTTTATCACCCAATTCCTTCAGTCACGATGCACTCCTTAAATATCTCAAGTGTCAGTGAAGGGCTTGGTGTGTTAAGTTAAAACCAGGGCTCGAATTGAGGGGGTATGTGAGGCTATTGTGACTTTTGTTAAAGAAAATGTCTAAAAGCATAGGCCTGCCCCTTGTTAGCTTTAGGCCCCTTGTGGACCTTATTATATAAAGCGATCTATAACGACGCATTAGTCTGCAATGCTTGAAACAAGCTGTAAAATGCCGGGGAAAGACGTGACTCCGATGCATAAGAGATATCTTTGGTTTGTCTCTATGACATTCAGAGGCTGCACTACAACCTTCTATAGCTGAGGAGACAAAAAAAATACTTTGAAGTAATGTGTGATTCTGTCACTATCAATTGCTGTTCAAAATTTCAACAGGCTATTAAACAACATACCAACTCTAAATCAGTCAGGAGCAAGCCGGGTAGCCTAGAAAGAACAAAAAATGAATTATTTAGGCTATGTTATTATTATTATTATTATTTATTTAACCTTTATTTAACCAGGGGAAACCCATTGAGACCAGGGTCTCATTTTGAAGGGTGCCTTGGGAACAATAAATCAATATAATCAGAATCAAAACAACACAATCAATTTACAATTTCACATTTCAACAAATCAAATTCAAAAGCAACAGATACAATTTCACATCAATCAAAACAAGTGCAGTTCTCCTTCACCACATTCCTCATCAGTCCCGAACAGACCTTTCGAGACCAGAGAGTCAAGCCTCAAAGGTCTGCAGGTCATTCCATGCGCTAGAGGCACAATAACTAAAGGCAATCTTCCCGGACTCTGTGGACCCAAGGACTCTAGAACCATCCAGTCTTGAAAGCGAGTCTGGTGGTGGCTGTATTTCCAATTAAGAAGTAAGGTAGTTAGGGAGTTTTTGGAGAACTGCTTTATATACAAATAGCAGCCAATGTTGGGCCCTTTTGGTAGCCAGAGACTCCCAGCCAACAGAACTATATAAAAGGCAATGATGTGTACGAAAATGTTGTCCAGTAATATAGCTATAGCCTGCCATTTAAGAAATCAATTGTGAAGCATTTGTGACACGCTACAGGCTGGCAGGAGCGCTCAGCATTTCAACAACACAACAACAGTACTTTAACAACATGCCTATGCATTTTGCATTCAGGCTATATAAAATGAATATTTTTGTTTGTTTTTACTTAGAATTAAATAATAATTAAACGAAAAATGTCTTATTAGACTATACAGTCATTCTACAATGCCTTTTAATTCATTTTAGAAACATGAGTTTGGGCTATCTTTGGTTTGAGGATCATGCGGTGAGCCATGCATGCCTAGTTTGCTAATTTAGCCTAGCAGATGCTCTTATAATCCCATGCCCTAATCACAGTCAACACACATCTATTTTGTAATAACAATATCATGGAATAAAATATAATAAATTGGAAAATGATAGTTTCCCAAATGAAAGAAAGTTACAATGGCATATAGGCCTACCTGATGATATGCGGCCGCTGTGTTCTCGAATTCATTGATGATCAGATACTTTAGTTGTAACTGGTTCTGTTGCGTTCCATTTTTACAGTTGGTAGACAACTTTAGCACTGTTCAAAACTTAGACTATCCTCTTTTTTAACAATAGCCTGTATAGAAATAAAAATGTCTCCGGTGCTGCAGCATGCGCTCATTCCTGATCAGGCTCTATTGTGGTATTAAAAAACATGTAAAATGACGTAGAATTGCATGAAAGGCGTTTATAAAAGGCTATTTTTTCTCAGACTGCAAATAATAAGATAGATTCATGCATTGCTTTTATTATAATGGAGATCTTTTCACCCCTACCCTTGTCCACAGTGGTCTGCTAATCACAACCTTCTGGCTACAGTCATGGTCAAAGGTTTTGAGAATGACACAAGTATTGGTCTTCACAAAGTTTGCTGCTTCAGTGTTTTTAGATATTTTTGTCAGATGGTACTATGGTATACTGAAGTATAATTACACGCATTCCATAAGTGTCAAAGGCTTTTATTGACAATTACATTAAGTTTATGCAAAGAGTCAATATTTGCAGTGTTGACCCTTCTTTTTCAAGACCTCTGCAATCCGCCCTGGCATGCTGTCAATTAACTTCTGGGCCACATCCTGACTGATGGCAGCCCATTCTTGCATAATCAATGCTTGGAGTTTGTCAGAATTTGTGGGTTTTTGTTTGTCCACCCGCCTCTTGAGGATTGACCACAAGTTCTCAATGGGATTAAGGTCTGGGGAGTTTCCTGGCCATGGACCCAAAATGTCGATATTTTGTTCCCCGAGTCACTTAGTTATCACTTTTGCCTTATGGCAAGGTGCTCCATCATGCTGGAAAAGGCATTGTTCGTCACCAAACTGTTCTTGGATGGTTGGGAGAAGTTGCTCTCGGAGGATGTGTTGGTTCCATTCTTTATTCATGGCTGTGTTCTTAGGCAAATTTGTGAGTGAGCCCACTCCCTTGGCTGAGAAGCAACCCCACACATGAATGGTCTCAGGATGCTTTACTGTTGGCATGACACAGGACTGATGGTAGCGCTCACCTTGTCTTCTCCGGACAAGCTTTTTTCCGGATACCCCAAACAATCGGAAAGGGGATTCATCAGAGAAAATGACTTTACCCCAGTCCTCAGCAGTCCAATCCCTCTACCTTTTGTAGAGTATCAGTCTGTCCCTGATGTTTTTCCTGGAGAGAAGTGCCTTCCTCGCTGCTCTTCTTGACACCAGGCCATCCTCCAAAAGTCTTCGCCTCACTGTGCGTGCAGATGCACTTACACCTGCCTTCTGCCATTCCTGAGCAAGCTCTGCACTGGTGGTGCCCCGATCCTGCAGCTGAATCAACATTAGGAGACGGTCCTGGCGCTTGCTGGACTTTCTTGGGCGCCCTGAAGCCTTCTTCACAACAATTGAACCTCCCTCCTTCAAGTTCTTGATGATCCGATAAATGGTTGATTTAGGTGCAATCTTACTAGCAGCAATATCCTTGCCTGTGAAGCCCTTTTTGTGCAAAGCAATGATGACGGCACGTGTTTCCTTGCAGGTAACCATGGTTAACAGAGGAAGAATGATGATTTCAAGCACCCTCCTTTTAAAGCTTCCAGTCTGTTATTCTAACTCAATCAGCATGACAGAGTGATCTCCAGCCTCGTCCTCGTCAACACTCTCACCTGTGTTAACGAGAGAATCACTGACATGATGTCAGCTGGTCCTTTTGTGGCAGGGCTGAAATGCAGTGGAAATGTTTTTTTTTGGGGATTAAGTTAATTTTCATGGCAAAGAGGGACTTTGAAATTAATTGCAATTAATCTGATCACTCTTCATAACATTCTGGAGTATATGCAAATTGCCATCATAAAAACTGAGGCAGCAGACTTTGTGAATATTAATATTTGTGTCATTCTCAAAACTTTTGACCACGACTGTACTTTGCCATGTTGCTTACAAAACAAATAATAGTTTCTAAAACTGCATCTAAGGCTCTGGTTTGTCCTAGGAGGGAGGGTAAACAGTAGGCATGTTCTCTGCTGTCCACTTTATGTTTTAATTATTATTATTATTATGGGTATAGGGGAGGGTCACTTGGTTTTTTCCCAAGAGTTCAGGGAGGGTCGGGTAAAAATATATTTTACTGAAGGAGGGCAATCCATTTTCATTTCAGAGAGGTCTGATTTTCTCCAGTTATCCCTCATTATAAATAACGTACAGTTTCTCGGTTAGTGTTCAGAAAGGCCTACATGTAATTAGTGATGGGGAATCTCAAATCCGCAGAGCGAGTGGACCTACACAGGGGGTAAGGAGGGAGCTGGTCAGTCCTGTAGAGACATATTGGTAACATCAGACTCCTTAAACACTGATGATGAGAAACATTGGTGATGAGCAGTTTGTTGGATTGGTTGGCTGATGGGAAAATGCCCTCTTCCATGGTACCATCATCAACATACACGCAACAAGACCCTCTGGAGACATCCAAAACCAAAGTGGCTCCAATAATTACGTGATGTCAACAAATTACGCATTCACTTTCATGGCGATTTGGGTGAACTGTGGAAAATCCTGTGGATTTCAGAACTGTTCTAGCCATCTGAATGTGCATCCTGGCCATTCTGTCTGTATGGTTGGGAGCCCCTCCTGAAGTCTCGGGCTTCACCGCCATGTGGTTCCATTTACCAGGGTTACCTCGGAGCGTGACGTTCCTACCGCAGTTATTATCCAGCGCCCTGTGCGGTCACTCCGTGGGGGGCGCTTCATCTGTGAAGTTAATGCAATAGCCATCCACCTTGAGACCCTTACTGTCACAGACAACTAGACGGACTCAGATACCTTCTAAGTCCAACTGGGCTCTCAGACTAGACGTTATAGGGGAGATACAGCATATTTGACAGAGTAGGGTTCATGTGGGAATGTGCTCCACAGATCCCAAACTTACAGCAAAATGACAGAAATGGGGGGTTAAACTGAAGCTCATCCAAAACAGACATTTCGCTCCATTTTCGCCATTGGGGATTTGACAGTGTGGAGCTGGTCGTTGAATATTGCCAGTGTCAGGCATATTGGACAGGCCTTGGGTGTCAGTGTATTCTCATACTCCATATATCAGATGATTAAGTTATCCCTCAGGTCTGCTGGGATGACTGAGTGTTTGATAAACTTCAAACACGTTGTGTTTATTCGACCCAACCAAATCGGCGGAAAATATTGTCTCAGTCGGAGGCTTAGCCAATCCATAAACTGTGGGTTTGTGTTGGTAGTAACCAGCGCCTGCAGGTCGGGTCCAACCATAACTTCTGCCCTCCTGCTCTCCACAGAAACATCTTATTTCACCCCGAGACGGCCAGCAGTGTCTTCGTCCTCCTCTCCTCTCGTCCGCAGGGAGAGCAAGAAGACAAATATTTTCTTTCAGGAGCGGCGCTCTGTTACCTGAGAGTTTCCTAAATCCAGCACATGTCTATTTCCTGGAACTGCTGAGTGTCTTTCCATCCCCTCGCCCCTCCGCCCCACCCTCCAGACCCTTCTCTCAGCCAGTGTTTGGGCCTAGAGCAGGTGCCCCTCCCCTGGGCAGCCTGCTCAGGAAAGGCCCCTGCTGTGCAGACGAGACTGGGCCGCAGCCCGGGCCAAACTCATGCTGTGAGGGGTATAAGAGGCTCCCTTCTCTCCAGACACGCACAAAAAAGATTTGCCTTGCACTCCTCCTCTTCTTTCGCTCTGTTTCTCTCTAAAATTCAATCTTCCCATCTGTTTTCCCTCTCTCAAATCACTCTCTTTCTCTACTTCGCCACTCTCTCTGCTTCCCTCTCTCTCTGCCTCCCTGTCCCTTCTCTCACCCCATATGACTTTATAAAGGTTACAGACAGAAGCACGTCCATCAATGCTGGAAAATTATGAAAAACATGACTACTAAAAAAGGTTGAATTCTTTACTCAAGCTATCAAAATAAGCAGTAAGAGTTACTGTAGTTCCTCATGTCCTGTAGGCCAAGCTGTGTAAGTTACTCATGTCACTGTAGTTACTCATGTCCTGTAGGCCAAGCTGTGTAAGTTACTCATGTCACTGTAGTTACTCATGTCCTGTAGGCCAAGCTGTGTAAGTTACTCATGTCACTGTAGTTCCTCATGTCCTGTAGGCCAAGCTGTGTAAGTTACTCATGTCACTGTAGTTCCTCATGTCCTGTAGGCCAAGCTGTGTAAGTTACTCATGTCACTGTAGTTCCTCATGTCCTGTAGGCCAAGCTGTGTAAGTTACTCATGTCACTGTAGTTACTCATGTCCTGTAGGCCAAGCTGTGTAAGTTACTCATGTCACTGTAGTTCCTCATGTCCTGTAGGCCAAGCTGTGTAAGTTACTCATGTCACTGTAGTTCCTCATGTCCTGTAGGCCAAGCTGTGTAAGTTACTCATGTCACTGTAGTTACTCATGTCCTGTAGGCCAAGCTGTGTAAGTTACTAATGTCACTGTAGTTATCATGTCCTGTAGGCCAAGCGTGTAAGTTACCATGTCACTGTAGTACTCATGTCCTGTAGGCAAGCATGTGTAGTTAATAGTCACGTAGTTACTCATGTCTGTAGGCCAAGCTGTGTAATACTCATGTCACGTAGTTACTCATGTCCTGTAGGCCAAGCTGTGTAAGTTACTCATGTCACTGTAGTTACTCATGTCCTGTAGGCCAAGCTGTGTAAGTTACTCATGTCACTGTAGTTACTCATGTCCTGTAGGCCAAGCTGTGTAAGTTACTCATGTCACTGTAGTTACTCATGTCCTGTAGGCCAAGCTGTGTGAGTAAAGAAACATAATATATCCCTGAAGCATCACAACCAGCAACAACTAACACATGGTTACTTACTACATCATTTAATGTGGTAACAACATTTATCAAAGTATCAGGGTAGGGTTTATTTTTGCGAATGCAATCGAAAACCTGTTCAAAACTCCCCTACTCGTAATTGCTGGTTTGACAGCAAACACTCAAACCAGGGAAAATAAAGTGTATCTTTGTTAACCTCATGGCACCTCCACCATGAGGCACCCTCCTCCCCGCCACGTCACCTGTCTTCACACTTCCCTGTCAGCCGCCAACATCAGGCGAGACCCAGGCTTGTGTGCCTTGAAGGCTGGAGGTTACATAAACCTACATAGGCACTGCAGTTCGCACATCGGCTCTTACTAGGAAAGACTGTAAATATGGCATGTCTCTCCATCCCTCTCCAGGGCTTGACATAAACGCTTGTTGCCTTGTCTGGGACAAGTAAAAAAATAAAATAATGTTGGACAAGAATAATATAGAGTTGAGTTGTCCGAATGGACAAGTAAAACAATCGCACAAATCACAATATTAAACAATTACTCCGATCAGAATTGGATCATTGTCCCCCCTGGACACGATGTACTGCTGTTCTCCTAATTTCTGCAGAGCGCATCGAGTAGGATTGTATTGAATTGACAGAAGGAGTCTTTCAATCATCCCGGGTTGTGAGCTTTTGAGATCAAAGCAAAGAGCTGTGTGTAGCCGCGTGTGCACATTTGTTGGTATTCCGTGCTAATTAGTGAGTTATTTGCACAGTTATAGCAAATTTTTGGTCAGCAAACAGGGTTTGTACAGTCATGAAAATCCTAGAAAAGTAATGGTGTGCAGCTGTGCGCATCACCTACATTTGTGCTAGTACATTTGTGCTAAAGCATTTGATCCCCTGCTGATTTTGTACGTTTGCCCACTGACAAAGAAATGATCAGTCTATAATTTTAATGGTAGGTTTATTTGAACAGTGAGAGACAGAATAACAACAAAGAAATCCAGAAAAACGCATGTCAAAAATGTTATAAATTGATTTGCATTTCAATGAGGGAAATAAGTATTTGACCCCTCTGCAAAACATGACTTAGTACTTGGTGGCAAAACCCTTGTTGGAAATCACAGAGGTCAGACGTTTCTTGTAGTTGACCACCAGGTTTGCACACATCTCAGGAGGGATTTTGTCCCACTCCTCTTTGCAGATCTTCTCCAAGTCATTAAGGTTTCGAGGCTGACGTTTGGCAACTCGAACCTTCAGCTCCCTCCACAGATTTTCTATGGGATTAAGGTCTGGAGACTGGCTAGGCCACTCCATGACCTTAATGTGCTTCTTCTTGAGCCACTCCTTTGTTGCCTTGGCCGTGTGTTTTGGGTCATTGTCATGCTGGAATACCCATCCACGACCCATTTTCAATGCCCTGGCTGAGGGAAGGAGGTTCTCACCCAAGATTTGACGGTACATGGCCCCGTCCATCGTCCCTTTGATGCGGTAAAGTTGTCCTGTCCCGTTAGCAGAAAAACACCCCCAAAGCATAATGTTTCCACCTCCATGTTTGACGGTGGGGATGGTGTTCTTGGGGTCATAGGCAGCATTCCTCCTCCTCCAAACACGGCGAGTTGAGTTGATGCCAAAGAGCTCGATTTTGGTCTCATCTGACCACAACACTTTCACCCAGTTCATTCAGATGTTCATTGGCAAACTTCACACGGGCATGTATATGTGCTTTCTTGAGCAGGGGGACCTTGCGGGCGCTGCAGGATTTCAGTCCTTCACGGCGTAGTGTGTTACCAATTGTTTTCTTGGTGATTATGGTCCCAGCTGCCTTGAGATCATTGACAAGATCCTCCCTTGTAGTTCTGGGATGATTCCTCACCGTTCTCATGATCATTGCAACTCCACGAGGTGAGATCTTGCATGGAGCCCCAGGCTGAGGGAGATTGACAGTTCTTTTGTGTTTCTTCCATTTGCAAATAATTGCACCAACTGTTGTCACCTTCTCACCAAGCTGCTTGGCGATGGTCTTGTAGCCCATTCCAGCCTTGTGTAGGTCTACAATCTTGTCCCTGACATCCTTGGAGAGCTTTTTGGTCTTGGCCATGGTGGAGAGTTTGGAATCTGATTGATTGATTGCATCTGTGGACAGGTGTCTTTTATACAGGTAACAAGCTGAGATTAGGAGCACTCCCTTTAAGAGTGTGCTCCTAATCTCAGCTCGTTACCTGTATAAAAGACACCTGGGAGCCAGCAATCTTTCTGATTGAGAGGGGGATTTTTTTGTTGTTATTCTGTCTCTCACTGTTCAAATAAACCTACCATTAAAATTATAGACTGATCATTTCTTTGTCAGTGGGCAAACATACAAAATCAGCAGGGGATCAAATACTTTTTCCCCTCACTGTACAATAATGATATGCAACAGACTAATTAGATAACTACATAACAACTAACTACATATCGTGTAGCCTGGCTAGTTATCTCGCCAGCTAACGCTTTCACATTAACATTGACCGACAAGCAGTTGATGAACGGGTGCCTTAAAGCTGGAATCCTTAATGTGTCCGTTTTTTTTTTTAAACCATCAAATCAAATCTTATTTGTCACATGCGCTGAATGCAACAGGTGTAGACCTTACCGTGAAATGCTTACTTACAAGCCCTTAACCAACAATGCAGTTCAAATTAATATTAAAAGTAACACAATAAAATAACTATAACGAGGCTATATACAGGGGGTACCGGTACCGAGTCAATGCGCGGGGGTACAGGTTAGTCGAGGTAATTTGTACATGTAGGTACGTGTAAAGTGATGCGTGACCATAAGCTTGACAACAAAAATTATAACAACGGTGGTGGGGCGGCCAGTGGTGCCTTTTCCCCCCTACTGCAGATTCCACCTTTAATAAACCAATGCTACATACTCTGGTTGTAAAACCGTCTCTCCAGCGCTGAATATTGGGATCAGAAAAATTATTATGCCACTGTTGGAAAGCTGGGATTCCCCTCTATTCAACACTGGCCATGTCATTCTCACAACTTCAAAATATAGAATAGCCTAGTTGACAAAGAAAATAAACTCTTCATGGCCTATAAAATATTGCAACATTAGGCCTACAATTACAACCAAATACTATAACAATTAATTGTATTTAGTACAATTTTCAATTACCTTTTTGGCCCATTGTGTTACAGACCAATTTTTTTTGGGGGGGGGACAAATGACTTGAGCTTTCAGACAAGTAAAGAATCTGTCCTACTTATCTGAAGGACAAGTGGCAAAAAATGTTTAAGTCAAGCAGTGTATCCCTCTGTCTCTCCCTCTTTCCCTGTCTCTGCCCATAAACAGTACTCCCTTGTCAAGTTGGGCATCAAAGTTCCCCTGACTTCTGACCTATTGACACTTAGCTCATCTGAACCCCATTCCTGAACTTACCCTTCAAAATATTTGGAGACATAATGCAATTCTCAGATCTTGGCTCATTCATCATATGACACTTTAGGTCTAACAGTTCACCACCAAATGGAACAGAAGGGCAAACATATTATAGCTTGCCTTTTACTGTTGAGGGTCACTCACTTTTAATCAACTGGTGGTGGGCAGTTATTTCTTTTAAAAATATGGAACTTTATGTGTTATGAGAAAAGAGTTGGCTCTATTTGAAAATACAGGAATGTTGCTGTGTCGAATCAATGTATTATTTGAGTGCCACATTGTGGTGAAAATAAAACGAAAACATTATTCGGTCAAAATTCTCCAAATAATTTTATGTTTATTATTCTACCCTTCAATGTTGTAATAAACGATAGAAAGTTGCTCAAGTCAGCTGGGTCCAAATACATCTGCAAGATTACAATAAAACGTCTGATCAAATTAAGATCCTATATCTGTGCACTAATACAGCCATGTGAGCTACATGGGTTCTCACAACACGTCTCACCTGTCCTCCCTCTCATTTTGGTCCCTGTATTGTACTGCGCTCATTGCACTGCAATTCTCCTTGTCCTCTGCCTCTGAGCTGCCATACTGCATGGTCACACAAAAAGAAGAGATAGGTGTTGAACTGACTCAGTCCCAGAGAGTCAAGAGTCAGACTGAGATCCACTATGCTGCCGCTTACGTCTCATCACGTATAGTCTCACAAAAAACCAGTGACCAGTATCAGAGACAGGTCTGGATGACGGCAGCATGAGAGAGATCAGGATACAAAGTGAATGGTAAAGATTGGCAGTTTTGGCACCAGAATAATTAACATGATTTCAGACCAGCAATGAGGAATGACAACCTATGGCAATTGGCAAACTAAACTTTCAGGTGATACAGTATGAACTCACTGTCTAGTGTGATGCTGATCTCCTGGCTGCTCCTCCTGGCCCTGCCTGCTCTGACCACACAGCTGTAGGTCCCCATGTGACAGCTAGAAGCCCTCGCCACGCTGTACAGCCCACTGACAGAGTCCCTGACCACCGGCCAGCCGTCCCTCAGGAAGGAGAATGTTACAACCACTGTGGTCCGGTTACGGTCAGGATCAGGGTGACTATGTAGACCGTGGTTACCATGATGTTGGCTCAGTTTGCTGTCGCTAAGCTGGACCTCACAGGTGAGGTTGAAAGCGCCGGCCCTCTTTGACCACGGTCGAAGGAGATGCTGACAAAGTCACTGATTTGAAGCGCTCTGGAGAGCATATTGATCACACAGATTGATTAGAGGAGGAAGTTGAGAAAATGATAGATTACAAAGAACTAGAGAAGTGAAATATATTCCAACTGTCACTGACAAGAGCTAGAGTAATGAGTGGGGCTTTTCAAGTAATCTATGAAAAAGAGCATGACACCACTTGCAAGACAAGACACCCATTACTCATGTGCTACACTCTCCCCTCACCAATGACATTAACAGAGACTGCCTGGCTGTATTGGGTGTAGAAGACTGGCTGTCCTCTCCCTGCTCTGCACCAGTATTGGCCTGTGTGTGTGACAGAGGCACGCCACATTCTGTAGACCGCCCCACCTCCACCACCGCCTCCAGCACTAGCCCACAGCTGCTCCACAGGGCCTGTGTCCTGCCTAATATAGTGTTATGAACATTAGTCCGTTCCACTTGTCAGTATATTCCAGTTCATGTACACAGTAATCCAGTGCCATGTTTTACTATAATCACTCAGGGCGTGATGGATACAACATGTAGCCTGACACCCACATTCTATTAGATTGAACTGAAATCTATCACACCTCCCAACCTCCATTATAAACCATCAGAGAAGCAACATAAAGAGGGAGCCGGAGGTCACACCTGTTTTTGTGCCAGTAGAACTGCCAGCCCAGCCCTGAGTGGCCAGGTAACTGACACGCCAAGGTGACTGTGTCCTCAGTGTACACCTGTCGTCCTGAAGGCTCCACGCTCAGAGTGGGCGTCAGTAGAACCTCTGTGAACACATGCAGAAGCCTAGAATTTCAACAAACAGTGGGCTATGTTTTGGCAAAGCACCCAAAGTGTATATTTCAAGACAGTGCCCAGTCTGCCACACCTAAAGTCTACATTAGGATCCCCCCACTGCGTTCTCACTTTCCACAGTAACCTGCACCTCTCTGCTGTGTCTCTGTGCACCTGTGTGGTCAGTAACAGTACACCTGCATCTGCCAGACTGGCTCTGAGTTATCTTGTCTATGTGCAGAACATGGGACCCACTGGCCACAGTCACGTTCTCTCTCACGATGCTGTATGTCAGGGCAGGTGCAGGGGTCGGTAGGGGAGGTTCCCTGTTATTATGGTTCCCTGGTACCAGCCCAGCCAGGCGAGGGTCAGAACCTCTCCCTGGACCAGGAGTAGGCATGGGTTAGCCTTCAGTACCACAGAGGACAGTTGTGCCTGGGCTGAGACAGTTTGCTACATCAGACAACTTGATCTGGAATATGATTCATGGTCTAAAAATGAAGAGTGTGTGGTATTTAAATTATTCTCACCTGATGATGGATAGGCCACCAGTGTACTCAACACTAGAACAGATATTTGACAAGACATTATGCATAATAAGGCTTGGACCTGATAACCAAAACTCAGACATATAGTAAATTAGGCTAAGCCTATGTGGCACTGGGTATTACATTTTAGCCTGCAGATCTATGATCTAATTGCCAAGATGATTATAAAAGTTTAAACTTGGCTGATAGCCTACTTACAAAGTACAGGAAGGAGAGACATTCCTGAGCTATTCAGAGTGACTTCCTTCATTCTAAAAAATAAATAAATAATGGTTAGCAACGGTAACTAGGCTAACGGGTTTTTAAGAAATAGCCTATAGTTGGAGCGGGAAATCCGTTTACTGAAAAAGGAAAATAAACAGTTAGGCTAATTAAAAGGTCCACAAAGGACCACACAGCTTGAAAAAAGTTGACAACAATACATTTTACTCATGCAAGAAGCTGCAATGGGGCCAATGTTATTTTTTTAAACACAGAGAGACACATCAACACGTGCTGACAACAACCACCGCTTACCTGGCTAACAACCATAGTTTCCATAGTTTACCTGGCTCTGGCATCATAACCTCAGCATCCTGCTTGTAAGATGTCTGGTCCCTGGTGGTCCAATATTTTCATGTGGACAAAGCTGTGTGTTACGGGCTTTCATTTGGGAAACCTGAACCGTCATTAATCTGGTTCCTATCCGCAACACTCACTTGGGGTGCCAGAAAAGCGATGAGAACAGGCTGCCGCAGGACTCCATCATCAGGTGAGACGCGACCTGCTCAGCTCGAGCTGCTCAGCCGGCGTTGTGCGCCCCCTAGCGTCGCACAATATATAAGATAATATGTGTGAGGAAAGCAAAATTCAACACAACACCGGTCCCTTTCCCCCAAAAACGGAAGTGGGAACGATATCGCAGTACAACACTGTCTGGACAAGCTATCTTGAAAGTCTAGTGGAGTTTGTATTAACGTTAGTGTTTTTACGCGAAGAGAAATTCAACCAAATAGGAGATTGATGTCATTTGGTGGACCACAAAACGGCAGGTGAGTTGAAAGAACATAGAACGTTGTGTTATGACGGTGCTTTTTACTGCAGATTTGCTCAACACTGAGCAGCAGGCAGCACAACGCTAGCTAACTAATGTGTAATGGCGGAGTGCTTGTACGCTAGCTAACTACGTGGGGTGTGGGTAGCCAACTAGCTGTCGCTGCCCAGTTTAGAAAGAGTGGTTGGTTATGACATGTAGTTAGCTAAGAGCGCCGGGTGCTAAGTTTCTATTTTGCAAATTGATGCGAGTTGGCTACCTAGCTAGCTATTAGTTAGCTAACTAAAGTTGTTTTGGTAAGTTACAGTAACTAGCTATGGTAGCTTGCTAGCATTGCTAGTACTGTAAGTAAGCACAGTAACGTTAGTAACAAAACTGTTGGATAACTAACTAACGTTAGTAAGTCAACAACATTAAAACAATCCACAGTGTTACTTCAATTAATGTTAACGTTAGATGGCAAAGACTAAGCTAACTTGCTAGCTAGCCCAATTATGTAGCTAGCGTACCTTACCTAGCTAGCCTACGAACTCTCAGAACCCTGTCATTTAAATGTGGTCATTAAAGGGCTACCTGCAGTTGCTACATCAATTTTAAATAATGATATGTACCCATTAATTCTTGAAAAATAGAATTTATGCAGTATGCAGAAATCGCTCCGCCATTTCCTGATTGCTATAATTGTAATAGCTCACCTAATTTCAGTTTGAACAAAACAGTATAGTGTAGAGAATCATTGTACCATCTAAACCCCTGTGAAATATATTTTCCATAACCAAAAATGTTGTATTTTCAGCTGTTTGAAGCTGGTGTACAAAAGTAAAAGACGCAAAAACGAAATGTAAGAACGGGAAGCATAGAAATAGTGCACACAGAACAGATCTACCCCTTCTTAGATTTGCGTTCAAATCTATAACTAACGTTTCTATGTGAAATTGGTCGTCACCCAAAAAGTTAAGTATGTGTGTGTATATATATACACACACTCACACACACTACCAGTCAAAAGTTTGGACACACCTACACATGTAAAAATGTATGCACACATGACTGTAAGTCGCTTTGGATAAAAGCGTCTGCTAAATGGCTTATTATTATTATACTCATTTGAGGGTTTTTATTTATTTGTACTATTTTCTACATTGTAGAATAATAGTGAAGACATCAAAAAGTTGAAATAACACATATGGAATCATATAGTAACCAAAAAAGTGTTAAACAAATCAAAATATATTTTATATTTGAGTCTTCAAAGTAGCCAGCCTTTGCCTTTGACAGCTTTGCACACTCTCGGCATTCTCTCATCCAGCTTCACCTGGATTGCTTTTCCAACAGTCTTGAAGGTTCCCACATATGCTGAGCACTATCTTTTCCTTCACTCTGCGGTCCAACTCATCCCAAACCATCTCAATTGGGTTGAGGTCGGGTGATTGTGGAGGCCAGGTCATCTGATGCAGCACTCCATCACTCTCCTTCTTGGTAAAATAGCCCTTACACAGCCTGGAGGTGTGTTGGGTCATTGTCCTGTTGAAAAACAAATGATAGTCCCACTAAGCGCAAACCAGATGGGATGGCGTATCGCTGCAGAATGCTGTGGTAGCCATGCTGGTTAAGTGTGCCTTGAATTCTAAATAAATCACAGACGGTGTCACCAGCAAAAGCACCATCACACCTCCTCCTCCATGCTTTACAGTGGGAACCACACATGCGGAGATCATCCGTTCACCTACTCTGCGTCTCACGAAGACACAGCGGTTGGAACCAAATCTCAAATTTGGACTCATCAGACCAAAGGACAGATTTCCACCGGTCTAATGTCCATTGCTCGCGTTTCTTGGCCAAGCAAGTCTCTTCTTCTTATTGGTGTCCTTTAGTAGTGGTTTCTTTGCAGCAATTCAACCATGAAGGCCTGATTCCCGCAGTCTCCTCTGAACAGTTGATGTTGAGATGTGTCTGTTACTTGAACTCTGTGAAGCATTTATTTGGACTGCAATCTGAGGTGCAGTTAACTATAATGAACTTATCCTCTGCAGCAGCGGTAACTCTGGGTCTTCCTTTCCTGTTGCGGTCCTCATGAGAGCCAGTTTCATCATAGCGCTTGATGTTTTTTGCGATTTCACTTGAAGAAACTTTAAAAGTTCTTGAAATTTTCGGTATTGACTGACCTTCATGTCATAAAGTAATGATTCATTGACATTTCTCTTTGCATATTTGAGCTGTTCTTGCCATAATATGGACTTGGTCTTTTATTTTTATTGGCCAGTCTGAGATATGGCTTTTTCTTTGCAACTCTGCCTAGAAGGTCAGCATCCCGGAGTCGCCTCTTCACTGTTGACGTTGAGACTGGTGTTTTGCGGGTACTATTTAATGAAGCAGCCAGTTGAGGACCTGTGAGGCGCCTGTTTCTCAAACTAGACACTCTAATGTATTTGTCCTCTTGCTCAGTTGTGCACCGGGGCCTCCCACTCCTCTTTCTATTCTGGTTAGAGCCAGTTTGCGCTGTTCTGTGAAGGGAGTAGTACACGGCGTTATACGAGATCTTCAGTTTCTTGGCAATTTCTCGCATGGAATAGCCTTCATTTCTCAGAACAAGAATAGACTGATGAGTTTCAGAAGAAAGTTATTTGTTTCTGGCCATTTTGAGCCTGTAATCAAACCTACAATTGCTGATGCTCCAGATACTCAACTAGTCTCAAGAAGGCCAGTTTTATTGCTTCATTTAATCAGCACAACAGTTTTCAGCTGTGCTAACATAATTGCAAAAGGGTTTTCTAATGATCAATTAGCCTTTTAAAATGATAAACTTGGATTAGCAAACACAACGTGCCATTGGAACACAGGACTGATGGTTGCTGATAATGGCCCTATGTAGATATTCCATTAAATCAGCCGTTTCCAGCTACAATAGACATTTAAAACATTAACAATGTCTACACTGTATTTCTGATCAATTTGATGTTATTTTAATGGGGGGGAAATTGCTTTTCTTTCAAAAACAAGGACCTTTCTAAGTGACCCCAAACTTTTGAACTGTATAATTATTATTTTTTACACACATGGGAGTAAAACAGAAAGTAAATGTAAACCAACACTATAGAGCCTCAAATTGTTAAAACTATCATTTTGATATCATGGATGATCAGTTGTTGCATCCATAGCTCTGTCCATCCCTCAGCATTTTACAGAAAAGGGTGGGGAGAGGCTTTGTTATGGCTGCTTTTGCACTGCCCTCCATTCTCCCTCTGACCTCTCTGCTTCTCCAATCACTTCCACTTACCATTAACCTCTTTCTCTCCCTCTTATCTCCCCTGCCTTTCTCTTTCACAACCCTTCCCCCCCCTCTCTCTGTACCCCGCCCCCCCTCTTTGTTCCTCAGTCGCCGTAGTAAATGGGACCAGCCGGGCCCAGGTCCTGGTTCAGACCAGATGGGGGAGGCGGAGGCGACTCCTACGGGGGCTCTGGACGCTGCAGCTGCTGTGGCAGCTAAGATCAACGCCATGCTGGTAGCCAAGGGCAAGCTCAAGCCCTCCCAGATAGGACCCCCTGGACCGACTGGACCCCCAGACAGGGTAAGGGTAAGGAAACCTCTTACACTGAAAACAAACTGTTTGTCTCTCACCTGTAATTTCTCTTCTCTCTGTCTTTGTTGTCTGTCCCTTTCTCGCCTACCAATTCTGTAATCCCCTCGCTCTTCATCTCTCTCTTTTAGAGAGATATTGTTGTAATTGTTAGCATGCGGTACATATAAAAATGAATCTTTGTCGTCACCAGCTTGTGGGTGCAGGGAAGCCCCAGCCCCCTATGAAAACGAAGGATGACCTGGTGGTGGCGGAGGTGGAGATCAACGACGTTCCTCTCCCCTGCCGGAACCTGCTGACCCGCGGACAGACACAGGACGAGGTCAGAGCCCATGACATCATTATGATCTTTAGACCCATTGATTGATTGATTGATTGATTGATCGATCTGGTCAACAGTCAAACTTACTGCTATGTTTATCCAGCTCTTTCTCTGTGTGACACGTACATGTACAGACTGGATCAGTGTCATGTAAACCAATATGGGACTTAGTGTCTCACTTGAGGACAGTAAATGACCAGCTTCTACTTCATTCTATTGTGTGAAGATCAGCAAAGTGAGCGGTGCTGCTGTGTCCACCAGGGGGCGATACATGGCAGCAGTGGAGAAGTACAAGGCTCCACAAGGGTGAGTCCTGCTTCACACTTGCTTTATTACCACACTGCTCTACCAAGGAGGTTACTGGTTACTTGCTATTTACTTTTGTCCATACAGACAATTAGATCTGTTGTCTGATTGCATCGTACAACCAAAGCTTATGCTACTGACTGACTGCTTCTCTCTCTGTCGTCAGGGACCGACCCCTCTATCTCCACGTCCAGGGCCAGACCAGGGAACTTGTCGACAGTCAGTACATCTCTATTTACCTGTACTAATTTGATTTAAGATGATCATCATTTCTGAACATCAGGATCACCAGGGTCCTTCTTTCCTGAATTTCTATGTTGTGACGATCCAGTCCATCTCTCGCTCTCTCCAGGAGCTGTGAACCGCATCAAGGAGATCATCACGAACGGAGTGGTGAAGGCTGCCACCTCTTCCTACAGCGGAACCGGAGCCACAGTCCCAGTCTACCAGCAACACAAACCCCCGCCCCCCTCACTGCCCCCCATCAACCACCATCACAGACCACACTTCCAGTCTGGGGTAAGCAGTGTTTTCCACAACTACATAGAGTAGCCAGCCAAATAGAAAAACTAGCCAGCCAGGGCAATGGAATTTACTAAAAATGTATGAATTAGTTGTTTGGGATATCGTCTAGGCTTATATGATCAGGACTATTTTCTAAGTAAGAGGATCATTTAACACGTCTTCTCTTGAGATTAAAGTGTTATTTACAGTGACTTTACCGTCAATCTGGCAAGCCCCGACATCTTAGGAAAGTAAACCTAGGGAATCCTTTGGTTTACTCGTCCCGATCCGATACCATGGACATATAACCACGTTGCATGATTTCTGAATGGCGAAGGGACATAGGAGATCGACTTTATTCAGTCAATTTAACACTTTTTATAAACTAGTCAACACTTGCTGTTCAGTTGTCAATCAAAGCACAGTAAATATTCTACTATGGGCCACGGTTCCGCATGGCTGGCTATGTGAAACACGCAAAATAAAATAATGTGCCAGAAGACAATAATTAGGCTAAGTCTTGGATTTCGTTACCGCTTACATTACCTGGGACGTGCAAATTCACGAGCATCGTGCTTTCTCTTTCCTCCGTGTAAAGAAATTCGACTGCAACCAACCACAGCGCACAGAAATTGTACCGGGAGGCGGGACAGACAGCAGACTGCATTTCCCTGCCATTGCTCGCTTTGTGACTGACAGGCACCTATCCTATCAATAGATCGCTAGAAGATGCATATTGTTCTATCAGGAGAAGGCTCGAGGGACTAGCGAATTGTAACGTTTAAATGGAAAGTGTCCTAGTTAATATGAAGTGGAAAAAGTAGCCGGCTGAAAATGAGTCTTTAACCGGCTGATTAACTAACGGCCGGCGCTAATGGGAAAACAGAGTTTGTGTGTGTGATTGTCGTTCAGTGTGTGTCAATGTTATTTTGTGAGTGTGTCAGGTGGGGGGGTGGGATCCAAGCTGAACAGTCCCTTTTCATGTATATCTCTTCAAAAATACATTTATCCAATCAAACTAAACCATATTCCTCATTCATGAATCTATAAGACTCACATCCATATCCTTCTCCTTCCAGATGCACTATGTGCAGGACAAGTTGTTTGTGGGTCTGGAGCATGCCATCCAGGGCTTCTCAGTAAAGGAGAGGGTGGAAGGGCCAGGCAGCTCCTACCTGCAGCACATCCAGGCTGAGACCGGGGCCAAGGTCTTCCTCAGGGGGAAGGGATCCGGCTGTCTGGAGCCCACCTCTGGGCGAGAGGCCTTCGAACCCATGTACATCTACATCAGGTAAGTCTCATGGACTAGACTCATGTTAATCTGTTTAAACTCAGAGGGCCTAGAACCAATGTACATCTACATCAGGTAAATAGCAGTATTAATAGATAGTCTGGGGGACTAAAGTCCATGTTCACTTGTATTAGCTCAGAGACACAGAGCTTAGAAGCCAGGCACACCTTAACTCCTCTCTTCCCCAGTCATCCCAAACCAGAGGGCCTTGCTGCAGCTAAGACCCTGTGTGACAACCTGCTGCAGACGGTGAGTGTCTAATGGTTTACTGACTGGGACTCGGTTCTTTGTTCCCTGTACACTGCTCTACTTTCAGCAAAGCCGTGTTTTAAAGCTGTCCCATGTGAAGTGCATTGTATTATTCAGATGGGTTCTGTTTGCCATGTGGATCGGTGACTGTTGTCTCTTCCCTCCAGGTTCATGCAGAGTATTCTGGCTTCCTCAACCAGATGAGTGCCATGATGCCTACTCCCGGTACACACAAACATACTCTCTCACTTTCTTTCTTTTTTAGAATCTCTTGGATGTGTCATCACGTACTGACATGTTGCTCTTTCTCTCCTCGTCCAGGCTTTATGCAGCCCCCCATGGCCAACGGGATGCCCCCCCAGCCCTCTTACTACCCCCCAGCAGGGTACCAGCCCAGCTACCCCCTCCCTGTACCTCCCCCTCAGCCCCAGCCCATTCCTCCCCCCTATGCTGTGCCCCCTCCCATTCCCCCTGGGGTGCCCGCCGGTCTCCCCCCTCCCAACCGGTACGCCCCCCCCCCATGCACCTGTCAGTTTACAACAGGTAAGACTTTGTATAGACCTATAATACTGTACTTTGAGATTATTACATCAGAGTTATGAAACTAGTTGAGCAAACATTCTCTTTTGATAGGTTGTATATATGATGCATTGAACATGCATTGCATCAGTTGGTTTTTTTCCCTTTTTGTCTCCAGACTCTCCCACCTGCTCCTTTCCCACCCGCCGCTCCGGTTCCGCCCAAAGCTCCGCCTCCCGTGGTCTCAGCCAATCCGCCACAGAAGAGACGCTTCACTGAGGAGGTGCCAGACGAGAGGGACAGCGGTCTGCTGGGATACCAGGTGATTTAGCTCTCTCATTCTTTTATTCTTCCATCTTTCTTATGTCCTGCTGTCGTCCCGTCTGTCCATTCTGCTTCTATCATTGTCTTCTCTCCATGTATCTGATATCTGTTCCTCGTTCTGTTAGTGAGAATCATACAAATGAATTCAGTCTGTCTCTTGTCTGTAAATCTGTGAGTCTGCACTCTATAGAAAAGGTTTGCTTGTTGAGTGAGTGAGATTGAATGGGCCTAAGTGTCTGTCTGTTCAGTGTCAACTTGTTTTTTTTCCCCTAGTAGATTTTATGACGTTCATTGTAACCATTAGCTGTTATTATCTGAGTCCCTGTATTATTGGATTATTAAAACTTTCAGATTATGGAGATTCTGAAAAGGTATTGTTGGATAATCATCAAATGTACTTCAATATATTGAAATTAGGGCCGGGACGATACTAGTTGGTATCATGGCAAGGAAACAAAACACAAAGCAGATTTAGCTTCTTTAGGAAAACAGCCCTAATGTTGGAAACCAACATCATTATGTTGTCAACCAGAGTCACATTTTATTTATTTTCCAAGCTATAGCACACAATATTTTACATACAGCAGGTTTTTAAAGGACCAAAGAGTTAGATCTGCTTCGTGTTTTCATTTTTGCCATGGAAAAAATATTGCAATACTGGTATCGTCACAGCCCTAATTGAAATGTGTCCACTTGATTTAATGATATGTTACATTAATACAGTTCATTCCTATTTTCTGATTATGTGCAATCGGAGCATGCATAAATGTAAAATATAATTTTTATTCTCAACTGCTTAAATAAAGTGTAGTGAAAAGGAAAAAACATTTTGGGATTAAACTTTGCATCTCAGTTACATTCAATAGTTTAGATAACTGTGCTTACTTGCATAGTTTTCTCATGTAGGCCTACTATCAATAATAGTAATTTAGGGGAGGGGCTACTTGGGAGGATGTGTGCTAATGCGCCTGTGTGTTTTTCTGCTCATAGCATGGACCCATTCATATGACTAATTTAGGTGCAGGCTTCCCTGTGGGCAGCCCCGGCCCCGAGGCTTCAGGACCCCCGCCACAGAGTTCCTCCGGGCCGCCGAGGGAGAGGGACAGGTACGAGATGGGGGAGACGAGTCGCTCTCCTTTAAAACAGTGTTCTTCATTCCAGATGCTGGACACACAGGCTTTTGTTTGCTTGTGATTGATGTTGAGAAAAAACAAAAAAGTGGTTGTCCCACTGGCTATCATAAGTTGAATGCACCAATTTGTAAGTGGCTCTGGATAAGAGCGTCTGCTAAATGATGTAAATGTAAAATGTTGTGCAACACTGATCTCTCTCTCTCTCTCTCTCCCTCCCCCAGCAGTAGGCAGTTGATGCCTCCACCACCCATTCCGATGAACGGAGGCGTGACACCCAAGATGGAGGAGAGGAGGCCACTGCAAGGCCCCCTGGGTAAGGGCCCCACCCCCCCCCCTCCAGCTCTGGTTGTCCTCCACCCCTCCCCATCCATGGCCTCTCAGCCATAAGCACGCTGCCCACCCCCCTTGGTTGTCAGTAGTCTGAGTCAAATAGCATTTTGCATGCAGACATGCTGTTCTCACAAGTGACATACCAGGTTATAGCAAATTACATCAGACAGGCATAGTGTTCCTCGATAAGTTCTGAGTTGAAAGTTCGTAGAAAGTCAGTCAGTTCAGAATCAACAACTGGGCTAAGCTTCGATCCCCCACTGCCTCAAGTAACTCTGTCATTGATCCTAAATCAACCCCTAGCCCTAGGCACTGTGTAGGTCTGAGAGGATTTGATAGGTGTAAACAATATGTTGCAAATTGCAATTTGCCTTTAAAAGGGCAAGGTGGAGTTATTACCATACTGCTTACACCTGTTATTTGATCATGTGAGATCTAGGAGGTGTCTAGGGGGGCTAGGGATGAATTTGAGATTGGGAGTCCACCTCTTTCGCTCTAGCCGGTGCTGTCCCTTCGCCGGCCGTCCCTTTCTGATGACGTCATCAGACTGGAGTGTCTGTGCCCGTGTGTGACCCCCTCACTAACAAGACTCTCTCTTTTTTTGTGTTCTTTCTCTGTGTTTTTCTTCTCTTCCATGTCTCTCTGGGGGGGATGCCGGATGGGGGTGGGGCTCTTCTCCTGTGGCGCTGTCCTGCATCGTGATTGGACGGCTCTAATGCTGCCGCTCCCCACCGACCAATGACTGCCGCTGCTGACACATGCCCCTCCTCTACCTAACTCACCCCTGCTGCCAAACACAATGCAATCTATTAACTGTTTGTCTCTCCCTATCTGTTGGTAAACAATTAACTTCCAACTGTTGTTTATGAAACCCTTGTGCTGGTCTTTGGTTGTGTTCTTTCTCTGTGTGTATGTGTACCCCCTCTCCCCCCTCTCTCTCTCTCTCCCCCCTCTCTCCTCTTTCTCCCTCATTCCTCCCCCACCCCTCTCTCCTCTTTTTCCCTCATCTCTCTCAGATACCTCAGTGAAGAGGATGAAGACGGGGCTTGTGGCTTATGCTGGTGACTCCTCGGATGAAGAGGAGGACCACTCCACCCCCAAAACCTTGGGGGCAGGTAACCATGGTAACGTCGCTGGGGCACACCACTCCACCCCCACGTCATCCTCGGGCTGGACTCTGGGGTACCGCTGCCCCCCTCCGCCTCCCCAACGTGCCAAAACACAACAGGCACAGTCACAGCAGCCCATGCCCTTCTGGATGGCCCCATAACACAGGAGTATTAAACCTCATACTCACCCCACCCCATCCTGTCTCCCCTCCCCTGACACCTAGGGCCTTCTGGATGGCCCCATCATGAAGATGTTTTACACTCCAAATTGAGCCCCAATCCCCCTTCTTCCCTTTCCCCTGAACCATCACCTCTACCTGCTCCTCTACTTCATAGAATCTCTTTTGTGATGACTTGGATTTCCTTAAAACAGTTTTGCCATGCGCTCAGCAGTAAAGCAGAGTGTGTGTGTGTAAATGGACTAAACAGACCGGCTGACTCATACAAAGAGAACAGACTCAACTGCAGCCAACCAGGCACAACCAGAAGAGTGACGGACTGGATAAATGGTGACAAATGCAGCAAGATGCCCCAGACTTCCACACAGACACAGATTCAAGTGTGCTCTGAACTCTGTATAGGAGACACAGCTGCGGAACGGACACTCATGGAGGATAATAGTACCCAGTTTCTGGTTGGTTTGGAACGTGTCGGCTCCTGGTTTTACTAGTGTAGAAAAACACTGAGGTGGAAGAGATTTACAATGCATTCTAAAAGATTTTTTTTATTATTTTTTTTATCCCCGTTTTCTTTCCTTGTCCAAATCTTAATCAAATCTCCCTTCATTGAGTACAGATCAGACAACCATGCTTGTTGGACTTTTATGAAATGCAATTGACTCAACTGTTCTAATGCTTTTGTGGAATAAATTAGCATTATTTATCTCTGTATGAGAATTTATTTCAAGACAACTTTGACAGATCGTGCAATAGAGAATAGGTAGCTTTCTGTTAGAAACATCATGGAAAGCAGAAAAGGGGTGTGGTAACTAAATAAAAGGTGTGATTCTTCCATGGTCTTAAACAACCCTCAATCTGAACGAACTGGCAAGAAATAATCTTTACCTGTGTTCTATTACTTCCCACAATCCTTGGCTATGTTCTCATAATATTCCACGAGGACACCTGTTATATTCCCATGTATTGGTTCAAGAACACCAGTGTGTATATTAAGACGGGGACTGAGCCCAGTAGACTACATTAGTTCTGAAGAGACATTGTTTCAGAATGAGGGGTGCTGTAGCTCTGCTGGTGTTGCTGTTCTGTCTGTCTGGGACATGGGGTCAGGGGGAGAGAGGAGGGGTCAGAGAGAATGATATCACTGAACAGGGTCACAGTGAAGGATGACATTTTGAAGGATGAAAGAGTGATGCTGAACAGTTGACCACCTAGCCTGACATCTGGACTGAGCTGAAGGAGCTGAGAGACATGATGGTGGAGCTGAGGAACATGGGGGCCAGAGTGACAGCCAGTGAGAGCCAGGTGGATGAGCTGCAGAAAGAGATGGTGAACCAGAGAGTGGAGTTGAGTGTCACTAAGAATGAACTACAGTTCTACAAGAACAAGCTTGAGGAACTGGAGAGAGGGAACGCAGGTGACGTGAGACCGCTGTAGCTTATTTGATCACTGTAATCAGGAGAGCAGTGGTGAAATGTTCAACAGTTTCTTTGTATGATATTGTAGCGTTGCAGGCCAGATTGAGAGCCAGGTGGAGAAGCAAAAGACTGAGTACATGTAATGTAGAGATTTAAAATACAGTATCTAAAGAGGATTTTAAATATTTTGTCCAAATCAGACAAGAAACAGGTTCCCAGCATTTTTCCTATATTTGTAATTTCAGCTCATGCAGCAGAACTGTCAGCCATGGGGACCATAGTGACAGCCAGTGAGGGAGAGGTGGAGGAGATGAAGAGCAAGAATGCAGGGAGGACAAACAGACTTCAGAATGGTATCACCTGTTACCATGTAATGCAATGTGGTTGTGTATCTTTCCAAACAAAGTTGATCATTCTGAATATTCTGTCCCTAGTGTTATTACATTTACATTTTAGTCATTTAGCAGACGCTCTTATCCAGAGCGACTTACAGGAGCAATTAGGGTTAAGTGCCTTGCTCAAGGGCACATTTACGTCATTTAGCAGACGCTCTAGTCCAGAGCGACTCACAAATTGATGCATTCACCCTATAGCCAGTGGGATAACCACTTTACAATTTTTTTTTTTTTTTTTTTTTTTTTTTTTTTTGGGGGGGGGTAGAAGGATTACTTTATCCTATCCCAGGTATTCCTTAAAGAGGTGGGGTTTCAAATGTCTCCGGAAGGTGGTGAGCGACTCCGCTGTGTGTGTGGGGGGGGGGGGGTAGAAGGATTGCTTTATCCTATCCCAGGTATTCCTTAAAGAGGTGGGGTTTCAAATGTCTCCGGAAGGTGGTGAGTGACTCCGCTGTCCTGGCGTCGTGAGGGAGCTTGTTCCACCATTGGGGTGCCAGAGCAGCGAACAGTTTTGACTGGGCTGAGCGGGAACTATGCTTCCGCAGAGGAAGGGGAGCCAGCAGGCCAGAGGTGGATGAACGCAATGCCCTCGTTTGGGTGTAGGGACTGATCAGAGCCCGAAGGTACAGAGGTGCCGTTCCCCTCGCTGCTCCAAAGGCAAGCACCATGGTCTTGTAACGGATGCGAGCTTCAACTGGAAGCCAGTGGAGTGTGCGGAGGAGGGGGGGTGACGTGAGAGAACTTGGGAAGGTTGAACACCAGACGGGCTGCGGCATTCTGGATGAGTTGTAGGGGTTTAATGGCACATGCAGGGAGGCCAGCCAACAGCGAGTTGCAGTAATCCAGACGGGAGATGACAAGTGCCTGGATTAGGACCTGTGCCGCTTCCTGTGTAAGGCAGGGTCGTACTCTCCGAATGTTGTAGAGCAGGAACCTGCAGGAGCGGGTCACCGCCTTGATGTTAGCGGAGAACGACAGGGTGTTGTCCAGGGTCACGCCAAGGCTCTTCGCACTCTGGGAGGAGGACACAACGGAGTTGTCAACCGTGATGGCGAGATCATGGAACGGGCAGTCCTTCCCCGGGAGGAAGAGCAGCTCCGTCTTGCCAGGGTTCAGCTTGAGGTGGTGATCCGTCATCCATACTGATATGTCTGCCAGACATGCAGAGATGCGATTCGCCACCTGGTTATCAGAAGGGGGAAAGGAGAAGATTAGTTGTGTATCGTCAGCGTAGCAATGATAGGAGAGGCCGTGTGAGGATATGACAGAGCCAAGTGACTTGGTGTATAGGGAGAAAAGGAGAGGACCTAGAACTGAGCCCTGGGGGACACCAGTGGTGAGAGCACGTGGTGCGGAGACAGCTTCTCGCCACGCCACTTGGTAGGAGCGACCGGTCAGGTAGGACGCAATCCAGGAGTGAGCCGCGCCGGAGAGGGTGGAGAGGAGGATCTGATGGTTCACAGTATCAAAGGCAGCAGACAGGTCTAGAAGGACAAGAGCAGAGGAGAGAGAGTTAGCTTTAGCAGTGCGGAGAGTCTGCTACAGTGCAGACTGTAGTATCACAAGCTCAATATTACAAATGAATGTTCTACTCCCTTGTTGACATACAGACCAAAGGTGGCGTTCTTTGCTGGTTTGTCTGAAACAGGAGGGTTTCTGGGACCCTTCAACACTGAAACCTCACTGGTCTACACCAATGTCATCACCAACATTGGCCAGGCCTACAGCCCAGTTACAGGTAGCCTACTGCTTGCTTACACACCAATCTACATGTATGAACACACATGTCCATAGGGACCAGATACAGACAGAGTCCAACATCACTAACGGCTTTGAGAGACTGACAGTGTTGATCTCTCTCTCTGTTTTTCCTCTGATGCAGGTGTCTTTGCTGCTCCAGTGAGAGGAGTCTACTACTTCAGATTCTCTGGCATGGATGCCACAACATCACAGTACATGGACTTCTGTTTGTTCAAGAATGACCAGGGTATAATGTGGAATGGACAGTACAATAGTCAACAAAGGCGACAGTATCTATCCAATTCTTGACTCTAGAACTGGAGGAGGGGGACTTGGTCTACATGTGCCTCCCATCAGGCTACAGGATCTATGATGATTCAAATAAACACAGCTCCTTCAGTGGCTTCCTACTCTACCCTATGTGAGATGAACACCACAAAAGCTATAATAAAAAGTCTGAACTGTTCTTATAACATTCCATGAAACATGAAGGTAAAATAAAATGACTAACGTCTTCTGTTCTGTTGACGTTTGACTATTTACTATGATATAGATTGTTATTCAGCTCAGTATTTTGGGTGGAAGGCACAGGGTCAGCTTTGGGGGTTAGAGTGGTAATGTATTTATGGTATGTAACTACTTTAGGGAAACTACAGACAGAATCAAATAACCATCCAGATCATATGTGTAACTGAGTCAGTTTAACTGACAATTTCAAGCAGAAATTGATTAATTACTATGCTGAAGTGAATGTTTTAGTGATAAATCACATCCACTTCATTCTTTCTCTGGTAAATGATAACATTAGAAGCCCATTTAGCATGTTAAAGCTATATTGCTCTCAAAAATTTGACGAACTCACTATGACGGTTCCATGTTGAAAGTCACTGATCTCTTCATTAAGGCCATTCTACTGCCAATGTTTGTTTATGGAGATTGCATGGCTGGGTGCTCGATTTTATACACCTGTCAGCAACAGGTGTGGCTGAAATGGAAGAATCCACTAATTTGAAGGGGTGTCCTCATATTTTTGTATATATAGTGTATATGTACAGTATTGTGGGGGCAAAATGGTTTTGTTACAGTCTAAATGCTATGAAAACGCTTGAGTTGAATAGTGCTATTCACTGGTAATTGTCCCTGCTGTCCAGTAACCTCCTCATACACCGCTTAAAGGACTGATTTGTTATTGGCCAAACTCTTGTTCTGTCTGTTTAGGCTCTGAAGATCTTCTCACTCCCCTATTTTAGACACATACAGTTGAAGTCGGAAGTTTACATACACCTTAGCCAAATACATTTAAACTCAGTTTTTCACAATTCCTGACATTTAATCCTAGTAAAAATTCCCTGTCTTCGGTCAGTTAGGATCACCACTTTATTTTAAGAATGTGAAATGTCAGAATAATAGTAGAGAGATTTATTTCAGCTTTTATTTCTTTCACCACATTCCCAGTGGGTCAGAAGTTTACATACACTCAATTATTATTTGGTAGCATTGCCTTTAAATTCTTTAATTTAGGTCAAACGTTTTGGGTAGCCTTCCACAAGCTTCCCACAGTAAGTTGGGTGAATTTTGGCCCATTCCTACTGACAGAGCTGGTGTAACTGGGTCAGGTTTTGTAGGCCTCCTTGCTCGCACACGCTTTTTCAGTTCTGCCTACACATTTTCTATAGGATTGAGGTTAGGGCTTTGTGATGGCCATTCCAATACCTTGACTTTGTTGTCCTTAAGCCATTTTGCAACAACTTTGGAAGTATGCTTGGGGTCATTGTCCATTTGGAAGACCCATTTGTGACCAAGCTTTCACTTCCTGACTGATGTCTTGAAATGTTGCTTCAATATATCCACATTTTCCTTCCTCATGATCCCATCTATTTTGTGAAGCGCACCAGACCCTCCTGCAGCAAAGCACCCCCACAGCATGATGCTGCCACCCTCACGCTTCACAGTTGGGATGGTGTTCTTCGGCTTGCAAGGCACCCCCTTTTTCCTCCAAACATAACAACGGTCATTATGGCCAAACAGTTCTATGTTTGTTTCATCAGACTAGAGGACATTTCTCCAAAAAGTACGATCTTTGTCCCCATGTGCAGTTGCAAACCGTAGTCTGGCTTTTTTATGGCGGTTTTGGAGCAGTGGCTTCTTCCTTGTTGAGCGGCCTTTCAGGTTATGTCGATATAGGACTCGTTTTACTGTGGATATAGATACTTTTGTACCGGTTTCCTCCAGCATCTTCACAAGGTCCTTTGTTGTTGTTCTGGGATTGATTTGCACTTTTCGCACCAAAGTACGTTAATCTCTAGGAGACAGAACGCATCTCCTTCCTGAGCGGTATGACGGCTGCGTGGTCCCATGGTGTTTAAACTTGCGTACTATTGTTTGTACAGATGAACGTGGTACCTTCAGGCATTTGGAAATTGCTCCCAAGGATGAACCAGACTTGTGGAGGTCAACACATTTTTTTCTGAGGTCTTGGCTGATTTCTTTTGATTTTCCCATGATGTCAAGCAAAGAGGCACTGAGTTTGAAGGTAGGCCTTGAAATACATCCACAGGTACACCTCCAATTGACTCAAATGATGTCAATTAGCCTATCAGAAGCTTCTAAAGCCATCATTTTCTGGAGTTTCCCAAAATGTTTAAAGGCACAGTCAACTTAGTGTAGGTAAACTTCTGACCCACAGGAATTGTGATACAGTGAATTATAAGTGAAATAATCTGTCTGTAAACAATTGTTGGAAAAATATATTGTGTCATGCACAAAGTAGATGTCCTAACCGACTTGCCAATACTATAGTTTGTTAACAACTTCCGACTTCAACTGTAGGCTGTGAGAACTGGTTAGAACCTGCTTTTGTTTTAACGCTTTAAGGGAGTAGAGCTCAGTACCCTTTTTCTCTCATGTAAGCTTGCCTCCCTTTTGAAGGGGTAAGCAGTTCTTTGTGTAGGTGAAGTATATATATGACTGGGTAATTTGTACATTTTTAAGTTCCTCCCTGGTACATCCGGAGAGTTAACTTCCTTGCAATTGCTTGAATAAACTCTTAAAAACGTGCAAATGAGCTCTGCTTGATACTTGGAATGAGTTTTTCTTCAACAGTATAAACAGAGGTCAGGTGTAGAAAAACACTATGCAAGAGTGTGGGGGTTAAGGAGGTGACAGGAGTGTCAGGGAGGGAAACTAAATATGCCCCCCCACACACACACACACACCTACACATCTTGATTCTGGTCTCAGGACTTTCCCAGGGGGGTGTGACCAAAGGTTATTATTAGTGTCCGTCTCAGCTCTCTCTCTCATTCTCCTGTATCCTTCTCATATCTCTCCCTCTCCTCCCCCTTCCCTATCTACTTTCTCCTTCTCTGTCTGTCTCTTTGCTTCTCTGTTCCGTCTGTATCGTTCCATCTAATCTGTCTTTCTCATCTTGTTTCATTTGTATTTTACTCTCTTAACTTTGTCTCTTCTCTGCTACTGTCTTCTTCTTTTTGCTGTTTTGTATTCCCTCTGTTTACTTTAGTCTATTCTGTCTCACTCTCTTAGTATTAGTTCTGTCTTTTTTG